CCCGCTTCCGGCAGAGGCCCCGCCCCTCCGCGACGGCCGTAATGGCGGCGGGACTGTGCCGAGCTTTCGGAGCGCTCCTGTTGTCGGCCGCGCCGCTCCGTCCCCGGTTCTCCGTTCCGCCGCTTTTTTTTCCTCCGTCCGGTGTGGCGGGGGGAGTGCTGGCGGCTGCCTGCCGCGGGCTGGGCGGTTCGGTGCCTCGCTGTACCACCAACCCCCTGTGGAAGTGCCGGGTCAAGTATACGGTGCGGCCGGTGGGCATGAAGAAAACGGGTGGCCGAGACCACACAGGTGAGCGGGCGGCCCGGTGCCGGTGGGGACGGGAACGGGGGTGAGTTCCGACTGTAGCCGTTCCCCGAATCCCGCAGGCCGCATCCGTGTGCGGGGGATCGGCGGGGGACACAAGCGACGGTACCGAATGATCGATTTCCAGCGGCTTCGTTACGAGGAGGGGGCCCCACCGGAGCCCTTCACTGAGAAGGTCATCCACGTCCGCTATGACCCTTGCAGGTGAGTACGGAGGATGGGCTCAGCCCCGGGCCCAGGGTGACACCCCCCCACCCACCCGCCGACTGTGGATTCCCCGTGCAGGTCAGCTGACATCGCGCTGGTGGCCGGCGGCAGCCGAAAACGCTGGATCATCGCCACGGAGAACATGCAGCCGGGGGACGTCATCAAGAACTCCTCTCACATCGGCAGGATGGCAGGTATGTGCCAGGACCGGGGGTGGCCCTGACGGGGACCCGCCGGCCGCTCGTTGCCCAGCTCATCGTTTTTTTGTCTTCCAGTATTGGCCAACGAAGGGGACGCTTACCCGCTGGGGGCTCTGCCCATCGGCACGCTGATCTGCAACTTGGAGAGCCACCCGGGGAAGGGAGCGCAGTATATCCGGGCAGCCGGTGCGTCTCCGGGCAAAGGAGCCGCTGTTTGTAGCCGGATTTGGCTTAGCGCAGACAGAGAGGAGAGCTCCGGGTGACTGGGAGCAGCTCTCCTCCCTTCTCCCCGTGTTAGGGTGCAAAACAACCCTCCGGAGCGGCGGGAGCTGCTCCGTCTGTCCCGTCGCTTCCTCGAGGTCCTGACTTCAGGAAGAAGTGTCGCACAAAGGGCGGTGGTGGCGGGGGTTTTTGGGGAGTTCCCAGCACGGGGACAGGCTCGCCACGGGGCGAGATTGCTTTGTCCTGCTGCTCGGGGCAGCTGCCTCCTCTCCTCTCGCCCGCTGCAGGGACTTGTGGGGTGCTGCTGAGGAAGGTGAACGGGACGGCCATCGTGCAGCTGCCCTCCAAGAGGCACATGCAGGTAAAGGAGCCGCACCATCCCTGACGCGACCGCCTGGGCCTGCAGCCGCACGTCCCCAGGGAGGCCTGCAGCTCTTCTCTTGTCCCCAAAGGTGCTGGAGACCTGCGTGGCCACGGTGGGCCGCGTGTCCAACGTCGACCACAACAAACGGGTGATCGGGAAGGCGGGCCGGAACCGGTGGCTGGGCAAGCGCCCGCACACGGGCTTGTGGCATCGCAAGGGCGGCTGGGCCGGACGCAAGATCAAGCCTCTCCCACCCATGAAAAGCTACGTCAACCTGCCGCGGGTCACGGCACAGGAGTGATGCCGGGCAGGGGGGCCAATAAAGCGTTCTCCATGCCACCACTGCTGCCTTTTCTGTGCGGGGCCTCGGGGAGCATTCCCCACGGGACGCATTTGGCAGTGTTCAGCCCCTGGCCGGAGTCGGGCTGCCAGAAGAGATGAGTGTGGGGACACGTTTGGCCGAGTTCAGCCTCTGGCCGGAGTCAGGCTTCCAGGAGAGATGAGTGTGGGGCTGTGGGCTGCCTCAGCTTGAGCTTGGGGTGAGCGGGGGTCTCGGTGGGATCAAACCGAGCTCCATACAATCGTGCCAAGCCTGACTGCGGGACAGCCGGGCTCTTCCCCTCGACTTGCGAAGCGGTGAAGGCAAGCGGGACAGCCGTGCGGTAAGGCAGGAGGGTGATTGCCAGCCAGGGTGACCTGCTGCGCAGCTGGGGAACGTGGACCTCGGTGCCTCCCAGCCCCGGTAACACCGTCCCCGGTGCTGCCCGCTTCCCTCGCTGCCCTCCCCATCCCGCACCCCCCTACCCCGCTGCCTCCCAAGTGCCCCTCACACTGAGACAAGGGGAGTTTTCCGCACGTCAACACCCCCAGCTCCCCGTGTTCCCCCCCCCGCCCCCGGTCCTGAACTGCCCCAGCCGCATGCCGTGTGTCCCCCCCGTATCCCGGGACGGCCAGCGGGGACCGGACCGCTAGCGGAAGAATTTTGGCCCCGTCCAGCTTCCGTCCGCGTAGGGGAGCGACCGCGCATGCGCGCTCGCCAACCCGGAAGCGGCGTGGAAGTGGTGTTGGAGGTAAAGGCGGCTCGGTCCCGTCCGGTCCGGCCCGGTCCCGCGGCGGAGGGAAGCGGGTTGGGAAACGGCCTGGCCTGGTGAGCACCTGGAGCGGAGCTGTCTTAGGGTGGTCTCGGGTCTTTTCCTTTTTTTGGGGAGACCCACGGGAGGCTTCGGGACCGGAGCCCCGAGGTGAGGCGGCCCGGGGCCGGGGCTGCGGCAACCGGGTCGGGTCGGGCCGGGCGCTTCTCGGTGCCCTGGGAGGTCTCGCTTGGCCCCACGCTTAGAAGGAGCTTTATTGCTGCCGTCAGCGCCACGGAAACCCGCTCCCCGGTAATCGCGGTGCCGTGCCGCCCGCCTGCAGCGTCCGTGTCCCGGGCACGGGCCTGTTGCTGGGCCGCGCTTCTATTCCCGGTCGGGTGATGAGCCCCGGAGCCCTCCAGCCCAGGCTTGCGCTGGCACTCAGGGCCGGGATGCGTGTTCCACCGGGCTGGGGGACCTCTGTCAGCCCACAGCTGGGTTTTACGGTTGAGCTTCCTGGGAATAGCCGGCCTCCTTGGGCACTGCTGTCCCTGTTCCTGCTATGCCCACAGCCCGTTTCACGGTCTAAAGATCACTTTGTCCTGCTCTGTTATCTTGTTGTTCCATGTGTGCTGTTTTCCAAGGAGAAAATGAGCTCTATCTTATGCTTTATTAATCTTGTTGTGTTAGGGGCTTATAGTGCTGACCTTGAGTACAGCCAGTACAGCTAGCACGTTTTATTTGTTGTGCTGCCACGTTACAAGCACTGCGAGCCACAGGATGATAGGTTTCTAGCCATAGCAAAGCCTGTGGCCTCAGCCGCCTCTCCCCAGCTCCAGCTCCCCCTCTGTCTCTGCAGGCACGTTTCCTGCCATGGTGAATGAGAGGCATAATGGCAACCTGCTTGTGCACCTGGGAGCCAAACTGCAGGCCTACCCGGAGGAGCTGCTCCGGCAGCGGCGAGGCTACGACGGCCAGCCCGAGTACCTGATCCAGTGGAGCATCATCAGCTTGGAAGAGAGAGCAGTGGAAGGCAGCAGTGCCTCCTCCGCAGAGACCAAGCCGGAGAACATCTCGATGTGGATGACTGCAGAAGAGGTCTGTGCCAGCTGCCCAGCGCTGCTGGGCAAGAGGAAGCTGGAAGGGCAGTGGGTGAAAGAGGAGAAGGCAGCCAGCCCGTTCGCTGCAGATGTCCCGCTGGATGAAGCCTCGCTGCTGGAGATGAAGGCTGATGTCAGGAGCCTGACGCAGCGAGCTGGCCGGCAGATGGCCGAGACCGGGGCCCCGGAGTCCTCCATCCTCAACACCATCCACGTGCTGAGCGCGTACGCCAGCATTGGCTCGCTGGCGGGCGCCTTCAAGGAGACGGGAGCCCTCGACTTGCTGATGAAGATGCTGTGCCACAAGGAGAAGCAAATCCGCCGCAGTGCCGGCAAGATGCTGAGGGCCCTCGCTTCGCACGATGCAGGTGGGGGCTGCTGCTGCTGCTGCTCAGTGCAGCTGAGGAGGTGCTGCTGGGCAGCTGAGGGGTGCCAGTCCTTTTGTAGGCGTGGGATGCCTGGGAAGCAGTGTGTCTCGGGGCTTGTTGGCAAAAGGGGAAGGATCAGACTGGAGCTTCCAAGGGGCGCCTCGGTTGTAGTTGTCTGGGGTGCTTTAAGACCTAGGAACTCTTTCCCTTGACAGCTTCCTGAGCTGGGATGCTGATTAACTGTTAGGAGGACTTATGCCAAGGGGCTTGGCAGAGTGTCGGGGTGTCTCTGCTGCATGCTTTCAATCGGAAAGGCTCTGGCCTGTTTTTGGCAGGGAGCCTTTCCTTAGGCCCTGGTGGGTAGAGGCTGGTCCTTTCCCAGTCCTCTCATTTGAGAGGAGCTGCCGTGGCTCGGAAGTGACTGATGAGGCTTGAGTGCGCCTGGAAGGTTGCTAGTGGTGGTGTGTCGCACAAGAGATCTGGCTTTCCCTGTCCTAGTGCCCGAGCTCACGTGGCTCTCCAGTGGGGCAGATGGGGGGCTGATTCAGGTTAAAACTTAACTTCTTTCTCCCCTGGAACCCTGTTCTGGAGTCATTTATTTGGGGCTGCTGCTCTGGGGGAATCTCACAGCTTTAGGGGTGGAAAAAATACGGTGTCATTCAGTGGAGCAAAATGTTGCCAACCCAGATTAAAGGACGGAATGTGGTTCTGGGTGACAGTGAGCAGCAGAGCTGTTCCTTGCCTGCACGTCTGTATTGTGCAGGCAGGGTGGGGTGAGGGTTATCTTTGCGAGGCCTGAAGAATTTCTGTTGTTGTCACAGGGAGCTGGGCCTATGTCCTGCTGTCGCTGAGCCAGCAGGATGGCATTGAGCAGCACATGGACTTCGACAGTCGCTACACCTTGCTGGAGCTGTTTGCCGAGACAACATCCTCTGAAGAG